ACTGAGCCCTACTCAATCCTGAAGAATAGAGAATTTTATTTAAATTTTTTAGTAGTAGCACCCTCACCCGAACGCCATCAGACAATCAAAATTTGGTAAAATCGAAAATAAAAATTTATTTCTTCTAAATTTAACAATTCTATTTATCTGAAAATTACCAGAGTTCTAGTAGGGACTGAGCCCTACTCAATCCTGAAGAATAGAGAATTTTATTTCAATTTTTAAGTAGTAGCAGGTCCACCCGTACGCCATCAGACAATCAAAATTTGGTAAAAACGAAAATAAAAATTTATTTCTACCAAATTTAATAATTCTAATCATCTGAAAATTACCAGAGTTTTAGTAGGGACTGAGCCCTTCTCAATCCTGAAGAATAGAGAATTTTATTAAAATTTTTAAGTAGTAGCAGGTCCACCCGTACGCCATCAGACAATCAAAATTTGGTAAAAACGAAAATAAAAATTTATTTCTACCAAATTTAACAATTCTATTCATCTAAAAATTACCAGAGTTCTAGTAGGGACTGAGCCCTACTCAATCCTGAAGAATAGAGAATTTTATTAAAATTTTTAAGTAGTAGCAGGTCCACCCGTACGCCATCAGACAATCAAAATTTGTTAAAAACGAAAATAAAAATTTATTTCTACCAAATTAAATAATTCTAATCATCTAAAAATTACCAGAGTTGTAGTAGGGACTGAGCCCTACACAATCCTGAAAAATAGAGAATTTTATTTTAATTTTTAAGTAGTAGCAGGTCCACCCGTACGCCATCAGACAATCAAAATTTGGTAAAATCGAAAATAAAAATTTATTTCTTCTAAATTTAACAATTCTATTTATCTGAAAATTACCAGAGTTCTAGTAGGGACTGAGCCCTACACAATCCTGAAAAATAGAGAATTTTATTTCAATTTTTAAGTAGTAGCAGGTCCACCCGTACGCCATCAGACAATCAAAATTTGGTAAAAACGAAAATAAAAATTTATTTCTACCAAATTTAATAATTCTAATCATCTGAAAATTACCAGAGTTTTAGTAGGGACTGAGCCCTTCTCAATCCTGAAGAATAGAGAATTTTATTAAAATTTTTAAGTAGTAGCAGGTCCACCCGTACGCCATCAGACAATCAAAATTTGGTAAAAACGAAAATAAAAATTTATTTCTTTCAAATTAATAATTCTAATCATCTGAAAATTGCCAGATTTCAAGTAGGGACTGAGCCTTACTCAATCTTGAAGAATAGAAAAATTTTTTTCTTTTTTGAAGTAGTAGCACCTTTACCCGTATAGTTATAATTTAGAATTTTAATTTGATTCGATTTTGGATTATAAAATGTATAATCCATTGTAAATACCAGAAATAATTCTAAAAGATTAAAATGTTGTAAATAGCTTATAAAGGTATAATGTATTTTTGTATAATGTATAATCTATTTTTCTCCGTGCAACCAGAATCATTAAACTTTTTGACAATGGGTCAGGAATAAACGGTCATCTATACTTTAAATTCAATAATTTAACTAAATTAAAAAAAAAAAAATTTCATTTAGCGCCAGGATAATTTACTCGAAAATATTCGAAAGATTACTTTATTTAATTTTAAATATTTGCCAGACTTTTTTTTTTTTTTTTTTATGACTATTTTTTTTATTAGGAAAATTCCTAATAAACCACGGAGAGTGGGTAAGGAGATAAACACATCAATTATTTATTCATAGAAACACTATTTATCACAATTAATTTTATTCAATTTAACAATTTATTTATTCGGCAGGTTTTATTTATTCAATTTAATTTTAATAAATTAATTATTCCAATTTACGAAGTAAAATTTCTATTTTTATAAAATTAAAAACATTGAAATGTATAAAGCAGGTATTTCTTAGACACAATGTTTCTTTGTTGAGTATAATTGCGTTGACGCGCCTAGAATTGAGAATTTAGAAATAAGGGTGTGTTAACTTAATACACTTAGTAAAACAAAGTGGTGTCTGGTAGTACAACATTCAATCGATAGAAGTAAGTATCTACACTAACAACCACTAATCAGTGCGCATATAATTTTTTAAATTTTCGCCCCATCGTTATGAACCCAAGTCACGCAAAAATTCATTTATCTTCTGCAATTTTTGACGGTTTCGTCAATTTTTATTAGTACAATATTCTTAACGTATCTTTAACCCGCACTATCAAAATTAGCATAAAGTCTGTTTTATATGATTTTAAAAAAGAAAAAGAAAATTTGTTATTAAAAATAATTATAAAAAAATGATACTTGCCGAAAATACGCATATCACGCTAAAAGCTAAAAAAGAAAAACTCAAATCTTCAAGATTTATCAATCTTTTCAAAAATTTAAAAATATTTTATAAAAATTATGTAGCGTAGAATGTAAAAAGGGAACTTTTTTACCCGACTCTACTAAAACTCTAAAAAAAAATCAATTTTGAAGAAGTTACAAATAATTTCAAAAATTAAATTATTTTCAAAAAATTTGAATATATACAATTCTTAGCAAAATTTCAATTATTTTCAAAAATTTTCCTGAATACAATGATTTTCAATATCTACTGGATTTTAATAAAATTGTACGCAAACATTTCATTATTTTCATAAATAATAAAAATTTTACAGAAATTCAAATATTTACAATTTTTTTAAATTTCTTCTAAATAGTTCAATATTATTTTCAGAAACAATAAAACTCATCATAGAATTTTAATTTAAAAAATTTTAACATTTTTCTAAAAAATAAGTCAAAAGAATTCAATTATTTAATAAATAATTTAATTTTCGTAGAATTTTTAAAATGAATTTTAGTTTAAATTTTTAGATAATAATAGAATATGAAAATAATTTTTAAGAAGTTATAGTAACAATATTCTTATAATATAAAATGAAGTTTTTATAATTATTATAAAACATGAAGACATGAAATCTTTTTATATTTTTAACAATATTTTTAGAGTTAATTAATTTCAAAAAGGTTTTAAAATTTGAATGTGTTTTGTAAAATTTTAATTCCTATGGAAAAATAATAATAATTAAAAATTTTAAATATTTAAAAAATAAATAAGTGTTATCGAATAATTTTACAATTTTAAAGATATTCGTAAATAAATTTAACAGAACATTTTTTTTAAATAAAATTTTTTTCCTTTATTTTTTAAAAATTCAAAAATTTTCAGTTTCATTTTCAAGTAAATTTTTCTAATTTGACAAATATAATTTATAAACATTTTTTTTTTGCTTTATTTTTAAAAAACTTTGAATTTTATTAAAACAATTGAAATTAAGAAATAGAATATTGATGAAAATTATTTTCTTATGAAAATTGAGAATTTTTTTAGAAAAATATTAAGAAACGGAAATATCTAATGTTCTTCTTCCCAAAAAGAAAAAAATGAGTTTGTAAACAATATTTTTATTGAGAAATAAAAATTACGCATAAAATGGGTATATTTCATAATTCTTAATGAAAATTTTTTAACAATTAACAATTTTCTATAGTATTTTTTAGAAATAAAAATAAGGAGAATATAATTTGCATAATAATTTAGATCAGTCAAACGAAATTTGTTATAGAAAAAAGGATATAACAAATAAAATGGGTATATTTTTTATTTGTTACATAATTTTTTTTAAATTTTCTAATTTGTAATATTATTTTATTATAAATCATGCAAAAAAGCCATTTTTGCGAAAAGTCATTTTTACGAATTGCCATTTTTGCGAATTGTCATTTTTACGAAAAGACATTTTTGTGAAATGTCATTTTTGCGAATCGCCATTTTTACGAATTGTCAATTTTTCGAAAAGTCATTTTTGCGAATTGTCATTTTTGCGAAAATTCCTATAGTAAACTTGTATGCATATATAGATTCACTATAGGAAAATTCTCAAAAATGACAATTCGCAAAAATGACTTTTCGGAAATTTGACAATTCGCAAAAATGTCGATTCGCAAAAATGATTTTTCGGAAAATTGACAATTCGTTAAAATGGCGATTCGCAAAAATGACTATTTGCAAAAATGACAATTCGTAAAAATGGCAATTCGTAAAAATAACTTTTCGCAAAAATGACTATTTGCAAAAATGACAATTCGTAAAAATGGCAATTCGTAAAAATAACTTTTCGCTAAAATGACTATTCGCAAAAATGACAATTCGTAAAAATGGCAATTCGTAAAAATGGCGATTCGCAAAAGTGACAATTCGCAAAAATGACATTTCTCAAAAATGACAATTCGCAAAAATGACTTTTCGGAAATTTGACAATTCGCAAAAATGTCGATTCGCAAAAATGATTTTTCGGAAAATTGACAATTCGTAAAAATGGCGATTCGCAAAAATGACTTTTCGGAAAGTTGACAATTCGTAAAAATGGCGATTCGCAAAAGTGACATTTCGCAAAATTGGCTTTTCGCAAAAATGAGTATTCGCAAAAGTGCAATTCGGTAAAATGACATTTCGGAAAAATGACATTTGGGGAATAATCATGCGCCCCAATTGTTATAATATTAATTAATACTTTGAAAATTAATAATTATTTTATAAATTTTAAACTTTAATGCTTAGAGAATTCCATTATTTAAGCGAGTAATAATTATGATTTAAGTATAAAATAAGGGTTTTTATAAATTGTTAAACATCAAAAAATCAATTTTTTTTTTAACAAATAATTTTTTATAAACAAAAATTATAATTTAAGTAAAACATTAAATAAAAAAATAAGATGAAAAGAAGTATTGATAAAAAAATTTTTTTTTTTGCTTTATTTCACAAAAAGTGTCGTGTGTATGTGTCATTCACTTCTTTCCAAGACTTTAATTCTTCTTAAGGGCTGCCAAACTCAATAAAAAAAAGTAATTACGAATAATTTATATGTGTGTATATACGTCTTTCTCGAGCAATAAAAAATGAATGCGTGCGAAGAGCTAAGAGCCTGGTGGATATTAAGAAAAAGACAGAGGGGGATCAAAATTATACAAGAGCATGCGCTAGTGGGAGTGGCGTCTCATCGTTGAACAAGTCACGCTGAAGCATTTTGTTAACTTACATCAGCTAGTGGATTAAGTACCCGTTTACTATATAACTTTTCTTATAAAAAAATTTCTCCTATAACGTCTTTTTTAAACAAAATTTAAAAAAAAATAACCTATCAAATTTATAAAATAATTGAAAAAAAAAATTTTTTCCATATACGAACTAATTCGAATTTAAATAATGTAGACAAACAAAAACACGTGGTTCTGCAATTTTTTAAATCAAGTTTCCCGGATACGAAGTAAAGTGTACGAAAATTATTTTATAAATAAAAAAATATATAAGGAAATATAAAAAAATTTTCTAAATGTTATAGCTAAGAATCAGTAAATTATGTGTTTGAATCTGTTTTTCAAATCTTTGAAAAGTGATATCAGTGTTGTTGAGTGAAAGTGTTTTTTTCTCTATAAATGAAATGATAAAATGTAGAACTTTTATTTTTTGAATATATAAATTAAAAAATCGAAAAAAAAGTTTTCGATTATAAAAGAATTTTTTATTGTCAAGAAAAAAGGAACTTTAAAATTGAAATCAATGAGAGATGTACATATATATTTTTAAGTACAATAATTTTATCTTTCAAATGAATAAATTCTGCGTCTGACTAAAATGCGTTTTTTACTACTAGCTGCAGTGCTTCAGATTTCATTAATAAAAGGTAGGATATAAAATGAAAGGAATAATTTACAAATGACAATAACTTTTTTTTTATTTTTTTTATTTTTTTTATTTTTTATTTCTTATTTCAACAATCAGAAAAATAATTTTTGTGAAACAATAAAATATAATTTTTAAAAGTTTAATGAAATTCTTCGCAGAAATTCAATTACGTTCAGAAACTTTAAAAAATTCTCGTCAAAACTTCAATTATTATTAAAAAGAATAAAATTGTTCTTCGAAATTCAATTATTTTCAAAAAATTTGAATACAATTTTTAGCAAAATTTTAATTATTTTCAAAAATTTTCCTGAATTCAATGATTTTCAATATCTACTTGATTTTAATAAAAAGATTCCAAAAGAATTTAATTATTTAACAAAAAATTTTAATAAAATTCTATGCAAACATTTAACTATTTTTTATAAATAATAGAAATTTCACAGGAATTTAATTAAAAAATAATAATAAAATATTTAACAAATTAAAAAAAAAATTATTTCTGTATTTAAATAATTGAATTCTCGTAGAAATATCTAATAAAATTGATTTAAAAAATTGATTTAAAAATGAATTTTAGTTAAAATTTTAGATAATAATTGAATATTAAAAGCATTGTAGCATGAATTTTAAGAAATAATTAAATTTTGAAAATTCAATATTATTTTCAAAAGTAATAAAATTCTTCACAGAAATTTAAAAAAAAACTCTCGTAAAAATTTGAATTATTTTCAAAAGTATAATGGAATTCTTCTCCGAGATTTAATTATTTTTAAACAAAATTTGAATACAATTTTTGGTAAAATTTTAATTATTTTCAAACATTTTCCTGAATTCCATGATTTTCAATAAATTATACTATTTTAACAGAAATTTTCCAAAATAATTTAACAGAAATTTTATTATTATTTACAAAATTTCTTAGCAATAATTTTTGTAGATTTAAATAATTGAATTCTCCCAGAATTTTCTAATAAAAATTGGTTAAAAAATCAGAATTTTTTTTAAAATTTTAGACAATAATTGAATATTAAAAGCATTATATAGAGTTAATTTTTTTGAAATAATTAAATTAAAATGATTGTTTTGAAAAAGTTATGAATTTTTTATTTTTTAAATTATTTCAAGTTTTTATTTTCTTATATGTATTTAATTGAAGAATTTCCGAATAATCGAACTTTCGTAAAATTAAATTGTAAACAAATGGATTTAAAAAAATCGAAAAGAACTTTTACAAAAATTATTATATATCAATAATTTTGATTTAAAGAAGAATGGTAGTTAAAAATTATAGAAAGTAATAATTGAATAGAAATAATGAAAATAATTTTCAAGAAGTTACATGATTAATAAAATTAGTTGAAATTAATGATGAAGTAAAATTAAAGTAAAATCTTAAATTCAAGTTGAATCACTTGAAATTTCAATAGAATTTTACAATCAATTAAAAATTAATGCAATTAAGAAAAATTTAGAATTCTAATAATAACTTGTGATTTTAATCATAAAATTAATAAATAGGTGCTTTTGAATTTTCAATTTAATTTAATAATTATTAGGTGATTATAATGAACTTAATATAATAAACTTAAAGTCTGCTTTATAGAATGATTCTCAATTAATGAAGACGACCCCTGACCGCATTAGTTACATGCAAATAAAAACAATAAATATTTTTCTCTTTCAACTTTAAAAATATAAAGTTGAAAGCGAAAACTGGTAATAAAAGCATCAACAAAATTTTCTACTATAAAAAAATTTTTTAAAAATTCTTTTAAATTAATATGATGCTATTAAATTTCAATGCAAACAATTTAAGAGATAGCGTGTTAAAATTATGAAAAAAAACTAGTGTCAAAACCTTATAATGCTTATAATTGTTATCGAAGGATAAAGAAGCAAAAAAAAAAAAAAAAAAAAAAAAGTATCGTAAATGTTGATAATTGTTGGCTTTATTTTCTTGTGAAACAAGACTTTAATATTAGTCTTTTACTAAACGAAATTGCCAGCTTCTTATTAATAATAATTGAGTCTAATGAATCGGGTCGCAACGACCATGTATCCGGCGTTCTTTTCAGTACAACTTATTAACTAGTCTTAACGGTTAGGGTCTGCCTGATTGTGAGATAGTTTTAAGGAGAATTTAAAGAAGACGAGTTTTAAATACTATCGCCTTGAACAATATATATATATATATATGTCAACCAGGCCTCGAAAAAAAGTCGCTTCAGTCGATTAAAAATTCAAAAAAAAGTCGAAAAAGTCGTTTATTTTTAATTCATATTATTTATAATGTCACATAAGAATTTTATTTTTTATTCTCCTGATTTTCCTCTTTCACTGATTTCTAAATTCAATTTTTCAAAATTTAAATAATTTTCTTTAATAAATATTTAAATAAAATTATTATTTGTTTTTCCATTGGAAATAAAATAATTAGAAAAATTTCAAATTTCAAATATGTTTAATAATTTCTTAAAATTACAATTATAACCATTCCAAAATTAAATTATTAGGTATTTTCTACAATTTTTAACTAAACTTCATTTTCAAATCAATTTTTTTTCATTTTTCCTCCAATTACAAAAATTCAATTTTCTATAATTATTGTATAACTGTAACTGTTTATGGTTCTCGTAGAATTTTCTAATAAAAATTTATTAAAAAATGAATTTTTTTTAAATTTTAGATAATGAAATTGAATTTGAAAAGCATTATAGCATGAAATTTGAAATAATTGAATTTTGAAAAGGTTTTAAATTCGAATCTTTGAAAATTTCAATTTTTCATATTTATAACTAAAAGTTCTGTATAAAAAATTAATTTTTTTGAGAAAGTTTAAGACAATTTTTTTGAAATTATTAAAAAAAAAAAAAAAAAAAAAAAATTATTTGAAGTTTTTAATTTCTAATAAATATATTTAATTGAAGAATTTACGAATAATTGAAATTTTGTAAAATTGAATTGAAAACAAGTGAAATTTGAAAATTCTCAAAGAATTTTTTTAGAAATTAATAATTATTATCAATAATAATTGATTTAAAGAAGAATGTTAGTTAAAAAATTCTAGAAAAATAATAATGGAATAGAAATGCGATGAAAATAATTATAAATTTAAAGTTGAATTTAACTAAACTTCATTTTATAATAAATTATTTTTAATTTATCTTCCAATTATCTATTTAAATACAAAAAATTCAATTCTTCATAATTATTGTAATTATATAACTGTTTATGGTTCTTTTTTAAAAATTTTATTCTGATTAATTACTTAAAATATTTAGCCAAAAATGTTGAAAGTCTCTGATTTAAAAAAAAATATACTAAAGAAATTCTTAAAATTAAATTTTTAAATTTAATTTTAAATAATTTTTGAAAGTTTATAGGTTTTTTTTATTTTCTTATTTTTGTATATATACAATGTATTTATACAATTAAAAAAAAATTTCCAAATAATTGAAATTTGGTAAAATCTTTTAAGAATAATTGAATTTTTTTGAAAAATAAAAAAAAAAATAGTCAAATTTTTATGAAGAATTTTAATTTTAAAAATGAACATGATTTCTTCAAAAATTTAAAAAGTGTAAAGTAAGAAAGTAAATTTTAAAAAATTTTAATTTATTTTGTTCGAAGAAAATTGGAACAAAAATAAATCTAATAAAAATGAATTTTAAAAAATTATAATGAAAAAATTATAAGACTATTATAATATTATAAGATTTTTTTTTTTAAATATTGCAATGTAATTTTACGAAAATAATTATGTTATGTTTCTCTAAATAAAAAAAAATAAAAATAAAATAATTGAATTTCTTTTAAAAAAATTTTGTACAATTTAAAAGAAACTAATTTTTTTGTTGAATTTTAATAAAAAAATTTGAACATGATTGTTTTTTTTCAAAGTGTTAAAAATAATTCTAAAAAATTTTAATGTTATTTTTTGTACGTATATTTGATTTTTCGGAAATATGTAATTGAAATTAATGAAAATAATTAAAACTTAAAAAAATTACAAGGAAAAAATTATGAATATTACTTTTTTCAAAAATATTTTAGTATAATTTTTAGAAGTTATATTTCATTAATTTTCATATTTATAAATTTATACGTTTGAAGATTTTTCATTGAAATTTTTGAGAATTCAATTATTTTCAAAATTTGCAATTAAAACTCCTCAATTTTTGAAAATCAACTGATTATCAAAAATTGTAATAAAAATAATTGAAAAAATCAATTATTTTCAGTTAAATTTTAGAAAATTTAAATTATTAAAAAATTTTTTAATTTTATATTTCAAAAATTTAATTAGAAAAATTATTTATGTAAAAATAATTTTTGAAAGCTTTGTCTATAGTTAAACTTTTTACACTATAAGAGTGGACATAAATTGCATTTTTTTACTAAAAATTGTTGTTTCTGTGGCAAAACTTTTGAAAAAAAGTAAAAAAAAGTCGCAATTTTTGAAAAAAAAGAGAGAGATGATTAGGACTGAAAATTAATCCTTAAAAATTTTTAAACATGAAAGAACTTTTATTCTTTTTTAAAAAATAAGTTGGAAAAATTAAAGAAGTATTCAAAATAATAATAAAACGGTGGCTAATAAAAAAATTTTATTGAGCTTCCTATAAGAGTGGACATTTTAGATATTTGCAGTAATCTATCTGTCTACATAAATACAATGTAGATAGGAATTTCTAAATGTTATTAAAAAAATAAATCACCTTGAAATTGATAAAAAAAAATGATATAAAAATATTTATTTTGCTAAATGAGATTTTTTTCTATTTTCGCAGCTTAGAAACCCAAAATATATCAAACTTTATGAAATGCCTCTAATCTATCTAGAGTGGATATAAAAAGTTATTGAGCGTCACATTATATTTTCATATATAAATACTTTGAATCCTATAAGAGCTGTAGGGATTAATTTTTCTTTTAGATTATAGTTCCCACAGGGAGAGATCTTCATCTCATATATGTCTTTGAATCCATCTATCAAACTTAAACATTTTTATATCTTTTCATATTTTTATTTTGTAAGACCCATCACGTGTGTGTTTGTTTCGTATATTTTTTATATTATTATTTATTATACCAAAACTGATATATTTGATAAATAATAATATTAGTAAATGATAAACTTTAAAAAAATTCTTAATAAATTTACACTATTAAAAAAAAAAAAAAAAAAATTCTTAACTTATGAAAAAAAAGTTATTTTTAATTTTAAACCTGAATTTTGTTTGAATTGAAATTTTTTTAAACCATAAAATTATAATGCGACACATAACAATAGACCCCTAGGTCCATTGTAAAAGTATAGAGGGGTCGCAATATAAAGTCGAAAGTTGACGGACACTAAAATATCGTAATAATAATCGTACCTTTATCATTTTGGCTATAATCTAAAGAAAAAACTACGACCCGAAATTTTTAAATTTTTAAATTTTTAAATAAACAAAATACTTATTTTATTTATTATATTGACAATTATGTTAAGAATCAATTTGAAAATCGTAATTTTTCATTATTAAAGTCAATTGAATAAATTTTAAATTTTTTGCCCGCCATATTGAATCCGCCATTTTGAATATTTGAAAACTAACATCGAATTCGGAATCAGCGACCCAAAAAAAAAATAAAAAATTCGTATAAAATATGAATTAATAATTTCTATATTTTTCAGTGGGCAGAGCATTACATATTGTAAGTTTTGATGTCCCGAGTATAATTGATCCAAGAGCAGAAGTTATCAACTTACTATGTGATTACGATTTGGATGGATCGGAATTATATTCCGTTCAATGGTACAAAGACGGCAATGAATTCTTTAAATTCACACCGTTCTCAAATCCTCCAGGATACTTTTACGATGGCAGCAATATTTTTGTTGACATTAAGCAGAGCGATGAGAAAAGAGTTACAATTGTCAATAAAAATCGCCGAGGTAATATTCATACTTATTTTTTTAACTTTGTTTTTTCACAATTATTATATTATTTTAACTCATAAATAATATAAAATTCTTTTCAGGAATTCAATTATTTTTGAAAATTTTAATAAAATTCTTTGCATAGCTATTCAATTATTATTTTCATAAATAATAAAATTCATCGCAGAATTTCAATTATTTTTAATACAATTTTACAGGAATCGCTTGAGAATTGTAATTATTCTTTAAAAATTTATATTTCAATTCCTCGAAAAAATCAATTATTTCAAAAAAATGTTTTTTTAAAACTCTTCGGAAAGAATTCAATTATTAAAGATAAAAATAACAAAATTATTTCCGAAAATTCAATTATTTCGAGAAATTTTAATAAAATTCTTTGCAAAATTCAATTATTTTCATAAATAACAATATTCATCCCACAAGAATTTAATTATTTTTAAAAGTAATAAATTTCTTCTTGGAAGTTCAATTATTTAAAAAAATTCTATAATATAATCGTTCGCAAGAATTCAATTATTTTCATGAATAATAAAATGCTTTTTAGGAATTCAATTATTTTCATGAATACCCGTGTGGAAAATGAAAATTGGTCCTAGCCAGGTCCTACCTATTTTGCCCTGTTAATAGCTTGGTCCTAGGTTGGCAGTGTAGGTTGGACCAACAATGGCTGGTGATGCGATTCTAGCCTGGTCCTAACTTGGGAGCCTAGTTAGGACCAGTTTATGGGTCCATTTTAGGACCTAGAAAGGACCATCTCAGACAGTATTTTCTATTTCATTATAATTTTAATTAGTTAATAATATTTGTTAAAGAAATAACCTAAATTATTAATAATAAGTATTAGTTTTAATTAATTATTATTTTTTTCAATGAAATGATGACCAAAAGCGAATTCATAAATAATGTTAGTATATGTAGAGATTAATATATATTCCTCTAATATATACATTAAAAATTATAAAAAAATTAGAAATTTGTTAATTAAATTATTTTACAGTATATATAATCATTAAATTGCATACTTATACGAATACAATGCAGAAAAATCGGAATAAACGCAAACCTAAGAAGTAAATAAAATCTAACGCACGCGGGAATCGAACCTACGACCTACGGACTACGAGACTAACGCCCTAACCACTATGCTAATGAAACTAGTTGAGATCAAAATTTTTATTGTCAGTGACTTGTGGACTTGCTTTTGATGATTCAATATAGTAGTTATTGACACTAATACACGATAATAAATAAAAAAAATAGTTTAACAACAACAATAATAATAAAATAATATCCAAATATAAAAATTCAAAAATTAATATTTTTATATTATATCAAGAAAAAAAATATCTATACATTTTCGTTAAAAACAGGTTTTTCATTGTTCTCAATCATTTTTAACATTAATTTCTTGGTCAAAAAAAAATATTCGTCTTTTGGACTTGGAAATTTTTCCTAATCAATTAAGCGGGTGATCCACTTTTTAAAAAAATGTCAAAAAAATTTATGTTAAAAACACGTTTTTCATTATTCTAAATTATTTTAAGCATTAATTTTTTGTTGCAAAAAAATTTTTAGACTTGGACTTAGAAATTTTTGCTAATGAAACTAGGAAGCCCAGGTAGGTCCTGGGTTGGACCTGGGTGGGTCAGCCCACATTCAAATTGCAATATCTCTTAGTGTTTAGCACCAACTTAAACGAAACTTAAAATCAGCGAACGAAATTAGAAATATATTTTACTAATGATAATTATATTGCAGTCTGTATCTGTTTAAATAAATAAATAAATTTTGCTGTTTTATTAACTTTTGTAACAAATTACTTAAAAATTTGCAGTTTTTTATCTAACTTCGCGATTATTACACTTGAGTAATGAAATATGAAGATAGTTTATAATTTTAACAATTCAGCATTTGTTTAAACAAAAAATTGTTGTTATTTATTAATTCCTAAGACAATAAAGCGTCTAGACACTTATAGTCTTTTAAAATTTTGCAATTAACTAATCTGAGTATTTATTTATTGCAAAATTAGAAAAAACTGCTAGTTTCTAGGTTGATTGTGTAAAAAGTTAGTAAATAACAATTATTTGTTTAAACAATTGCTGAATTAATAAATTAATAAATTAACTTTATTTTATAGTATTTGTATAATTTTCTGATTTATGTCAATCAATAAATTGTTTAAACAAATATGATTATCAATTAATTTTATAAATATTAATTGAGAATATTTATGAATTTTTACATGTTTTTCATGTATCAATTTTGACACTTTATTTTCCTAAAAATTTTTCTAAGTCATAACTGGATCTCCTAGTTAGTACCAAGTTAGGACCAGCCTAGGATATATAAAAAGGGGTTGCCAAGTTAGGTCCAAGCTAGGGCCAATAATCATTTTAGGCATAGCATGGTGATTTCTACACGGGTAATAAAATGCTTTTTAGGAATTCAATTATTTTCATGAATAATAAAATGCTTTTTAGGAATTCAATTATTTTAAAAAAATGCAATAAAATTCCACATATAGACATTTAATTCTTCTCAAAAAATTTAATAGAATTCTTTATAAAATTTAATTATTTTTTAAAACTTTTCGTAATTCAATTATTTTCAATATCTATACTATTTTCATAAAATTTCCAAACAGAATTCAATTATTTTCATAAATAATAAAATTCTCTTCAGTAATTCAATTATTTATGAAAATTTTAATAAAATTCTTTGCAATTATTCAATTATTTTCATAAATAATAAAATTCATCGCAGGATTTCAATTGCTTTCAATACAATTTTTACATCAATTTTGATCAAAAAAATGTAATTGTTCTTAAAAATTTAATTTCAATTCCTCGGAAAAATCAATTATTTAAAAAAATTTTTTTTTAATTCTTTGGAAGAATTTAATTATTTAAAAAAATATAAGAATTTTTCAAAGAAATTCAATTATTTTCAAATATTTTAATAAAATTGTTATAGAAAAAAATCAATTATTTCAAATACCATTTTAATTAAATTTTTTTGAAATAATTGAATTTTTTTTTAGATTTTAATAAAATTCTTCCTGAGAATTCAATTATTTACATAAATAATTCTTCGAAAAGAAGTCAATTATGACGATAAATAACAAAATTATTCCGCGAAAATTCAATTATTTTGAGGCAAAAATTCTTTGCAAAATTCAATTATTTTCATAAATAATAAAATTCATCGCAGGATTTCAATTATTTTTAATACTATTTTACATCAATTTTGTTTAAAAATTGTAATTATTCTTGAAAAATTAATTTCAATTCCTCGAAAAAATCAATTATTTAAAATTTTTTTTCTTTTTGCTTTCGATGAAATTCAATTATTTACAAAAAATATTATAATTTTTCAAAGAAATTCAATTATTTACAAAAATATTAGAATTTTTCAAAAAAATTCAATTCTTCTCAAAAATTTGAATAGGTTTCTTTGTAAAACTTAATTATTTTTAAAAACTTTTCGTAATTCAATGATTTTTAATATCTACTATTTTCATAAAATTTCCAAACAGAATTCAATTATATTTATGAAAATTTTAATAAAATTAAAATTTAAAAATATATTTTAATTAAAATAAAATTATTTTCAATATAATTTTACATCAATTTTGCTCAAAAAATGTAATTATTCTTAAAAATTTAATTTCAATTCCTCAAAAAAATCAATTATTTAAAAAAAAATTTTTTTTTTATTCTTTGAAAGAATTCAATTATTTACAAAAAATATAAGAATTTTTCAAGGAAATTCAATTATTTTCAAATATTTTAATAAAATTGTTGGAAAAAAATTAAATTATTTTAAATACCATTTTAATTAAATTTTTTTGGAATAATTCAATTATTTTTTTTAGATTTTAATAAAATTCTTCTTGAGAATTCAATTATTTACAAAAATATTAGAATTTTGCAAAGAAATTCAATTATTTTCAAATATTTTAATAAAATTGTTCGAAAGAAATCAATTTATTATTTCTACAAAAATATTATAATTTTTCAAAGAAATTCAATTATTTTCAAATATTTTAATAAAATTGTTCGAAAGAAATCAATTGTTTTAATTAAATTTTATTGAAATAAATTAAAATATTCTTTTAGATTTTAATTAAAATTCTTCCCAAGATTTCAATTATTTAGGTACATAAATAATTCTTTGAAAAAATTCAATTATATTGTTAAATAGCAAAATTATTCACAAAAATTCAAATCGAAAAATTTCAATTATTTTTATTATAATTTTACAGGAATTGCTCAAAAAATCTAATTATTCTTAAAAATGTAATTTCAATTTCTCGAAAGAAATGAATTATTTAAAATTTTTTTTATAAAATTGTTCGCAAGAATTAAATTATTTTTCTAAATATTGAAATACTTTTATGAATAATAAAATTTGTAGCAGATATTCAATTTATTATCAGGATAAGAAAGAAGTAATTATATTTTTGATGAAAATTAGGAAAATAAAAAATATGGAATGTAAATTTTGTCTTTTTTTTTGTGTCTGAAACGAGTTTTTTTGGTCGTGAAGTTTAATTTTTCTTAAACATAATTTAGTAATTACAAATAAATCATTTAATCTTGAAATATCCGTTACAACCACAGAATTAATATGAGAAAATTTAATTATTTTTTCAATTTATTCAAATTCAAAATAATTTAATTCTAATAATAAGGATCATGAAAAATTAAAAAAAAATGTTTTGTAGCACATCTAGGGTATGGTTTAAGGCCTTTAAATTTTTAAATATCATGTGAGTTAATATTTTTTTTAGGTGGAACAAATTTAGCGGGAACTTATGCTTGCGAAGTATCAACAGAAGCTCCACTATTTTTGACAACTTATGTTGAGGCAAATATGAGTGTTGCTGTACCACCTAAAAGCGCACCTGTTGTCGATGGCCTAAGACCTTACTATGAAGTAGGCGACATTATGAGAGCAGAATGCACTTCCGCTCCCAGTCATCCACCGGCAGTTCTGACCTTTCTTCTCAACGAAAAAGAAGTAACAATTAACTTTTAATTCAAATAAGAAGGTTCTTTTTTGCAAAAACTGTTATTGAAACAAACCATACTTACATTTTAATTACATTTAATTTTATTGTACTTATACAGTAAGGATTAAAACATACAGTTAGGATTTAAAAAAAATCTCTACTTTTAAATTTGCTTTAAATTCTTTTAATGTTTTCAAAAAAAAAATATTGTATTTTATTTATTTACTTAAGTAAATAAAATAATATTTATTATTTTGAAAATATTTAATTATTTTGAAAATATTTTTTTTTATCATAATTATTGGAATATGAATTTTTTTAAAAATAAGTTTTAATTCTTTTTTTCTAGGTGAGCCAAAGTTCAACGGAATATACTCAAAATGATGTTCATGTGGTTGGCAATTACGCAACAACAACTCATCAAGAATTTTCATTGCTCTTGGAACAAGAACATTTTCAAAATGGTCGTTTGACAGTAACTTGTGAGGCTTCTTTTGTAGAAATGCCACTGCTAAAAACTTTGAGAACTAAAAAAATAGTGACATTAATATCTAATAATAAAAATAACGCTCAAGCGAATGTACTTTTTGATACTGTTAAGTCGACTGCATCATCGATGCATTACAATATGTATGTGGTCTCTTTTTTAATATTTTTGATAAATAAAATTTTCGAAGTTATTTAAAACTAAATAATATTTTTATTGTAATTTGCTTTTACTTTCCCCCAAAAAAAAAAAAATTTTCTTATACTTTTAACTCATATAAAAATAAAAGGAAACAAATTTTTCATGTTCTATTCATCACAAGCAAAGAGTCTAGTAAAGTATGGGCAAAGAATAAAATCTTTTCAGAATTTTTGTACTTTCCTATTATATTTTCATAGTGCGGTCAGATTAGTTTTTTTGATTAAAGTTTTTTTTGGTTAAGTTTAAAAAACGAGTAAAGTACTTTTGAAGAGCTCAAAAATAATGAAGCAATTGCCTTAAAATAATAAAAAAATGTAGAATTTTAAGAATGTTTGATATTTTGAGCTAGTGGTAAAAGTAGTTTTTATGACCAATTGACCAAAGGGTGAAGTTTAAAAAACGAGTACAGTATTTTTGAAAGGCCCAAAAATATTCAAAAAAAAAAAAAAAAAAAAAATGTTGAATTTTAAGAATTTTTGATTTTTCTTTTTAGTGGTCAAAGTAGTTTTTCGACCAAAGGGTAAAGTTTAAAAAACGATTAAAGTATTTTTGATGAGCCTTAAAATAGTAAATCAATTTGCCTTAAAATAAAATTAAAATTTAAAATTTTTTTTTATTTGAACCAAAAAATTTTAAGAATTTACGATTTTTGGTGCGAGTGGTCAAAGTAGTTTTTTTCACTAAAGGGTCAAGTTTAAAAACTGGATAAAGTATTTTTGAGGAGCCCAAAAATATTCAAGCAATTTGCCTTCAAATAAAAGAAAAATTTAGAATTTTAAGAATTTTTTTATATTTAGTGGTCAAAGTAGTTTTTTTGACCAAAGGGTCAAGTTTAAAAACTGGGTAAATTATTTTTGAGGAGCCCAAAAATATTCAAGCAATTTGCCTTAAAATAAAAAAAAAAATGTTCGCAGTATTAAGAATTTTCGATTTTTGGTTTTAGTGGTCACAGTAGTTTTTTGACCAAAGGTTGAAGTTGAAAGAATGAGTAAAGTATTTTTGAAGAGCCCAAAAATATTCAAGCAATTTTCCTTATTTATAATAAAATCAAAATGTTGAATTTTAATAATTTTCGATTTTTGTTTTTTGTGGTCAAAGTAGTTTTTTTTACCAAAGGGTGAAGTTTAAAAAACAAGTAAACTATTTTTAAAGAGCCTAAAAATATTCAAGCAAATTGCCTTAAAGTTAAAATAAATAAAATATGTTCAATATTAAGAATTTTCGATTTTTGTTTTTTGTGGTCAAAGTAGTTTTTTTGACCAAAGGGTGAAGTAAAAAAACAAGTAAAGTATTATTGAAGAGCGCAAAAATATTAAATCAATTTGCCTTAAAATAAAAGAAAAATATTGAATTTTAAGAATTTTCGATTTTTGTTTTTTGTGGTCAAAGTAGTTTCTTTGATTAAAGGGTGAAGTTTAAAAAACAAGTAAAGTATTATTGAAGAGCGCAAAAATATTAAATCAATTTGCCTTAAAATAAAAGAAAATATTGAATTTTAAGAATTTTCGATTTTTGTTTTTTGTGGTCAAAGTAGTTTTTTTGACCAAAGGGTGAAGTAAAAAAACAAGTAAAGTATTATTGAAGAGCGCAATAATATTAAATCAATTTGCCTTAAAATAAAAGAATAATATTGAATTTTAAGAATTTTCGATTTTTATTTTTTGTGGTCAAAGTAGTTTTTTGACCAAAGGGTGAAGTTTAAAAAACAAGTAATGTATTTTTGAAGAGCCCAAAAATATTGAAGCCATTTTCCTTAAAATAAAATAAAAATATTGAATTTTAAGAATTTTCGATTTTTGTTTTTTGTGGTCAAAGTAGTTTTTTTGACCAAAGGGTGAAGTTTTAAGAACGAGTAAAGTATTTTTGAAGAGCGCAAAAATATTAAATCAATTTGCCTTAAAATAAAAGAAAAATATTGAATTTTAAGAATTTTCGATTTTTGTTTTTTGTGGTCAAAGTAGTTTTTTTGACCAAAGGGTGAAGTAAAAAAACAAGTAAAGTATTATTGAAGAGCGCAAAAATATTTAATCAATTTGCCTTAAAGTTAAAATAAATAAAATATGTTCAATATTAAGAATTTTCGATTTTTGTTTTTTGTGGTCAAAGTAGTTTCTTTGATTAAAGGGTGAAGTTTAAAAAACAAGTAAAGTATTATTGAAGAGCGCAAAAATATTAAATCAATTTGCCTTAAAATAAAAGAAAATATTGAATTTTAAGAATTTTCGATTTTTGTTTTTTGTGGTCAAAGTAGTTTTTTTGACCAAAGGGTGAAGTAGAAAAACAAGTAAAGTATTATTGAAGAGCGCAAAAATATTAAATCAATTTGCCTGAAAGTTAAAATAAATAAAATATGTTCAATATTAAGAATTTTCGATTTTTGTTTTTTGTGGTCAAAGTAGTTTTTTTGACCAAAGAGTGAAGTTTAAAAAACAAGTAAAGTATTATTGAAGAGCGCAAAAATATTAAATCAATTTGCCTTAAAATAAAAGAAAAATATTGAATTTTAAGAATTTTCGATTTTTGTGGTCAAAGTAGTTTTTTTGACCAAAGGGTGAAGTTTAAAAAACAAGTAATGTATTTTTGAAGAGCCCAAAAATATTGAAGCAATTTTTTTTCAAAAGTTCTTAAATTCGCTTAAACCTTATGTTAATCGTGGGTTATTTCTGGGCCATTTTTTCTCTCCGCCATTTTGAATTTTGAAAATCTGACTTTATATTTGTAATTAGCTTGAAAACCCCCAAACAATAAGTTTTAAGAGAATTAATTCAATTTTTAAAAAAAATATCCGGCATTTTGGATTTTTAGAATCTGATTTTCAAATTTGTAATCAATGGCCCCAAAAGCTCCTAAATAACAAGTTTCAAGCAAATTTGTGAAATTTTTTAAAATTAAATTTGTCTTCTTTTATAAATATTATATACCTATCGTTGATAATAATTATAATCGTACTATATAATTTTAGAATATTTTTACCTGTTATTAAGGTTGAAATTATTTTTTTACAATTTTCGTCCATAAAGAATAAAATAAAGAAAAATAATAATAGATTTAACAAAAATATACAAATTTCGATATATAAACGACCTTCATGGTCGAATAAACACTACATAGACAGATGATAATTATAACTATTACGATAAGAATAACTTTTTTTACCTCTCCAACAAGCCGTAAAAATTTCTATCAATAAAAAAAGGGAAAGTAAAAGAGTTCACACAAATTTTTATATTCTTCTCGAATATCATATCTGTAAATAATGAAAATATTTTCCTAGAACTAAAAAATAAATGTTATCCTTTATTTTTTCCTGTTATCATTCCAAAAGAAGATAGAATCGTATTTTTTTTCTTTTTTTTTTTTGCTAAAAATTGAAATTGACAATTACACAATTTTCAGGAATAGAAAAAAGTGACATTAAAAGATTTTAAGCAGGTTAAGGAGAAACTGTCGCGCAACAATCTGTGAGCAAATCAAGGTGATAGGTCGACTTCTTCATTAAATATTTTATTTCCCTTTATTCAACTTTTCATATAAATATAATTAGATTTGGAATTAAATTTGTCACACCAATTTCAGTAGTGAACACGATTACATCAATATAGTCTTTCTAAATCTTTCTTTCTAAATCGTTAATTTTCTGAAATCAAAATGAATTTAATTTTCAATATTGGATTATTGTGTACTTTACAATTAGTGAAGTCATATGGGATTTTGAATTATTTCGATGATTCAAAATTTGCAGCAACTGAACGTAAATGGGAGAAGGGCGACGGTGGTGAACGTGATTCTAATTATAATTCCGAAAATGGAGGAAAAGTGAATAATGGTTATGAAATTATTCATCACTATGATAGAGGTGATAAGGGAAATAATGAGAATAGTCAACATAATGAGAATTACAATAATGAAAATAATGCTCAAGCAAAATATCATCATGATGATGGTTATTATGTTGTGCATCATAAGGGTGAAGAGGGTGAGAAGGGTAGTAATTTTCATGAGGAGGGTAATTATGAGAAAGGACACAGTATAAAGGGTCATCATGTCGTTCATAAATTGGATGAATATAAAAAGCAAACGGATTTCTATGATGAGAATTACGATCATGGTCATCAAGAGGATGATGAGGTTGATTATAACGAGAAGCAACATGATAATGGAAGTCATTATGCGAATCATCATCTTGATGAAGAATATCAGGAACAACATAATAAAAATAAGGGTGATTTTGAAAATGGACAACATTATCGTGAGCATAAGGGACATGAGGATGTAGCTGGTCATGATGCTTATGATCAAAATCAAAAATTATATAATCAGAAGAATGGTGATAAAGTCGTTAAAAAATGGTACTTTGAAATAGTACACTAGTTTTATGTTTATAGAATTATATCCTAGGGGGTCTATACAGTCATCATTTTCAAAAAATTTATATTTTTTTTCAAATTTCTATGATTTTTACAACTTAACAACGTCTCAGAAACAACAACGACTTGCAACAACAATTTTCATTATGAAGGACTTATATTATGGCTCTGGAATCCAAAATTCTGAGTAAGTTTAAAAATTTTTTAAAAAGCTTTTCTCTTTTGGTGAAAAACGATTACAAATTCACTATAATTAACTATTTTATGAATCATTTATTTTTGTATTTAAGTATAATTGAATTTTCGTCGTTAAATTCTGATATAAGAATTTATTTAAAAAAGAATTTTAGTCAACACTTTTGAAAATAATTAGAAGTGCGTTAAAAAGTAGGATTTTTTATTGAAATAATTAGAAATAATTAAATTTCAAAAAGCTTTTAATTGTATAAAAAATTAATTATTTGTCAGCTTCTTTAAAAATTAAAAGTTTTGAATAAATATATTATTCGAAAATTCTAAAAAAAATAATTGAATTTTGAAAGACTTGCAGTTCAAATTTTCATAAAAAATTTTTCCATTGGTTTATATACATTGAAATTATTTTGAAATTTTAAGCAAATAGAGAACAATAAGTATTTAAATATTTATTTTACAAAAATGATTGAAATTTAAAAGATTTAATATTTGGAAATTCTGAAAAAATTAAATTTTTGAAAAATAGTAGGTAATTGAAATTTTTTGAAGATATTTTTTAAATTCACAAAAATAATTTTAAAAAATCGAAACAATTGGAAATTTTGTAAAATTTTATATTTTAAAGAATTTTATATTTTCATCTTTAAAAATTATCTATAAATATAATATTGTATTATTTTGAAAATATACATTATTTTATGAATTTACAAAAATTATTCTATTTAAATAATTCAATTCTCGAATGAATTATTTATGAATTCTGATATAGGAATTGATTTAAAACAAATTCAGTTAAATTTTTAGAAAATAATTGAATATTTATTATAAAGCAAAAGATAAAAATATTTAGATTTTTATTTTAAAAAATTATGAATTACATTATTTTTTTGAAAAGAATTCTTAAAGTTTGGAATAATTTTTTATTTCAGATGATCCTGCATCTCGTTTATAATCATGTTCACATCGTTCACGCACTATTAAACGTTCTCATATGGCCTCAAGGAATAAATGTTTACAACATAAAGACACAATTTTTTTTATAAAAAAAAATCACGTTAAGAACAACTGAAATAATATAAAAGTGACTTTGACTGATTTTATAGTCGTTGTATTTATTTTATTTTTTTTAAAGAAATTTAAAAAAAATTTGCCCTCATGACTGTATGTACCCCTTTAATTTGTATATTTTATCAATTATAATAAAATGTTTAAGAAAATATATTTTTTATTTAAATCATTATTATTTTTGTCTTTTCCTTTTTCTCAATATTCTATATACAAAACATACTTTAAAAATTTTTATATAAAAGGCCAAAGGTGCCATTGTGAATCGTCACGTCATCTGTCGGAATTGTTTCCGAACCGTGATCGAGAATTAGTAGGATAAGTCAGAGAAGCCATAGTTGCCATAGAAAACAGTGAAGAAAGAGAAAAAAAAGAGAACTGATGCATCTAGTTTTATTTATTTAAAAGAATGGTTGGTACATGTAAAACTATTTATATTAATGATATTTTTCCTATATTTATTTCCAAGTATGAAGAATAGACAAATGACACAATTACGCGTGTGTTCAGAAATCTTATTTTGTTTCAAACATCACTTTTATAATCGCAGATTAATATCGTGTTTTATAAGGTTATAAATATTTTTCGTTTGTGTAGCACATATGCAATGACAATCCACAAACACACGCACCATAATGTTTCGGCTAATAGCAATTCATGTGTTTTCATCTTTCCAATTTTCCAATGGAATGGGAAAATTTGATAACAAACCATATGTCCGATGTACATGACTAGAGCGTTCATGCCTAGATATAATAGAATAGTTTAATTTCAAATTGAATTATAAATGTTAGGTTAGGTTGTTAGGTTAGATTGTTCTTCTCTTCTTCTTCTTCTTCAAGGTTATAGATTGTTACTTTGTTAGGTTAGGTTGTTAGGTTAACTATAATAAATGTTAGGTTACTATATACATACCAGGAATGCGGAAGGGTCCTCCTTTCCAAATTTTAACAACGTCGACCAGAAGATAGCATATGCAGAGTAAAAATAGTGAGAAGGACGTCGTGACAAATACGAAAGAAAGTGACCTGGTAGAAAATAAAATACTTGAGGGTATAAAAATACTTAAAAGGCATGTCTTGATTTTTAAGACCTAAACACCTTACCACAAACTTTTATTTATTGGAATGATATTCTGCGAATGGAGAATGTATCCCAGGACACTAAGAAATAATGCCCATGTAATCCATCTTGGGATTCTTTGCTTCCAATCGTGGTAATAAAGTATAGTCGATCCGGATTGAATTCCTAGGAATACTTGAAAGATAGATGTCAGGCAACCTATAAAACAGAAATTATAATTATATTATATATAATTTTTAAAAAAAATCTGCAAATTCTTACCTAGTGTCCCTTCAGGATCAAAAGCCTCGGATCCGTATACAGAACGTATCGCTGGCCATTGGAAAATATGATTCACGCCCAGTAGTATTCTGTCAATATATCCCGCTGAACCACCAGTGCAATTCATGTACTTACCATCAGCATGCCGTCCACCAGGACCTAAATAACCCCTAAAAGTTAGTTTAGGACATTTTAGACATTCCTTTCATTAAAGACAATAAATCACTATTTCCCCTTACATACTAAAATACATACCTGGGACATTCGGGAATATCAAGTCTAAAAGTAATCAAGCAGTGAAGAACTACAATACCCAGGACAATAATCCATTGCAGCCATAATGATACAATATCAGCAAAGTTTTTAAAAATAATCCTCTGCAATAATTAGTATTTTGTAAAGTAAGAGCAAATATATGCTACAAGGAAACAAGTATCACACAAACCTCATCCTTTGTTCTTGAAGATAGAAGGGCGTATAAGCAACCGCTAACTAAATAGGCAACGCCGAATCTTTGGAGTACTCCAAAAATTCTAATGTCTTCTAGTTGTGATCCAGTGACAAGAGTATTTAAAGATATTCCAATCAGGAACAACCAGATGCTACGCTACAAAAAGGGTATTTTAAATTTAAAATTATTTTGAATTAAATTAAAGTGTAATTTAAATTTTTCCCAACAGAATTTATAGATTACCTTTACGATCGATAGACAAATTGTGAATCTCGAGACATTGCGAGAAAGTTGAGAGAATAGAGAGAGAGGTATACAGACACCCATAATCCAGAGGAAGCAGGGAAATACAAGATCGCCTATTCGTAGACCATTCCATGTTGCATGTTCCAAAAGAGGATAACCCGCAGCTCCATTGTTTACAAATATCATAAAAAGTATGCTGATCCTAAAGAAAATTAACGGCTCCAAAATGTTACAATTCGATCCTTAATTTTATTTATCGAAACTCAAATAGTATAAAACATTTCAACATTACTCACCCTCTAACTGTATCAATAGCTCTAACACGGCTTTTTCTTTTCACTTTTTCTTGTGTATTTGCTGCCTCCGACTTATGAATGAATCTTAGCAAAGTTTTTATTAAGTAGTTCAGTATCGATAAACCGAAAAGAAGGCTTATAACAATTCCAATTGCTATAGCAAGTGCTGGAGAATAAATTTTATTTTTCGTCAAATTTCATATAAAACTAAGAAAAAAAAAAAAAAAAAAAAAAAAGAGAAAAAACAAGATCCTTAGCACATTTTCTGCTTACCTGTTTTTGAAGTAGTCACTGATTGTAAATCTGAATTCAAATTTAAAAAATACAAAACTATTTCCGAAATTAAAATTTGGTTGAATCAGAAAGATCAGTATTGTGAAAATCTACAATTCTATTAAGAGGTAAAGCCACTCTAAAATTTTGGAAAATTCTATTTTTTGTCTTACAGGGTACATTAGGGTCTTAGAAATGATGTCCAATTGGTTTTATAGAAGTGAAAAAGAATTTCAAATAGCCTTTCCACTGCTGTTACATACAGAGGAGAGGGTCTGTGAGGTTCCTTAGATGTCAATGATTTAATTGACATCATTTCTATTTCATTAAAAAGAAATTCCTTTTCTATTTCTACAGGGACCGATACTGAAACGAAACTAAATAGAAAATTACTTTCGTTTTAGTTCTTGAATAATCCAAAAATAAAAGTATTTGAAACTATTTAGTTTCGTGTCGGCTCGAAACTAAATTAACGTCTATAATATTAGTTTATTGTCAATTTGAAACTAAATTAAATGATTGAATTAAAATTCGTGTCGACTCGAAACAAAAGATTGAAAAACATAATTATTTATAGTGTCAATCACAAAAAAATATTACTTGACTTACGTAACTCGAGCAACTTACGTAATTAGAGTAAATTTCGTATGTAGAGTAACTTACGTAAGTTACGTAAAGAGAGTAAATAACGTAACTTAAGTAACTTACGTAAAAAATAGAACTTACGTAAGTTGCGTAACTAGAATATCTTACGTAATGAAAGTAAATTACATATCTAGAGTAAATTACGTAACTCACCGAACTTACGTACGTTACGTAAACACAGTAAATAACGTCACTAAAGCTAGAATGTCTGACGTAATCAATGGATCTTACATAACTAGAGGAAGTTACCAAAACAAATCGAATTTACGTAACTTGAGTAACTTACGCAACTAATCGAACTTACGTAAGTTACCTAACTAATCGAAGTTGCGTAAGTAATCATCGAATTCACGTAAGTTACGTAACTAATCGAAGTTACATAAGTAATCGTCGACTTTAAGTAAATTACGTAACTAATCGACCTTAAGTGAGTTATGTAATTAATAGAACTTACGTAAGTTACGTAACTAGAAAAATTAATGTTAGTCAATCTAGTTTCGTAACTTACGTAAGTTTCATGAATTACGTAAGTTTGGTTAATTCTATAAGTTACTCTGCTTTTGTAACATACGTAAGTTCCATTAATTACGTAAACATAGTAAATAACGTAACTTACGTAAGTTCTATTTTTTAAGTAATTTACTTCAGTTACGTTATTTACTATGTTTACGTAACATACGTAAGTTCTATTATTACGTAAGTTACTCTAGTTACGTAATTTACTCTTATTACGTAACTTACATTAATTACTTAAGTTGCTCGAATTGCGTAAGTGAAGTTAAACAATTTTTCTGTGTTTGACACTAAATAATTGTTTTTCAATCTCAATTGTTAATTTAGTTTCGTGTCTACACAGAAAATAAACCAAACCAAACTTTCGAGACAGTCCCTGTTTTTCCATATTCCCACAATAAATTCTTAAAAAATGAATCTACTTTTCAACCTCTAGAGTGGTTTTACCCCTTTAAGATTCTTCCGCCATATTGGATCCGCCATTTTGAATTTTATAAATTTGGCTATACATTTGCCATCAGTGACCGCACAAAAACCGACTAATGTGTTTATAATACTATCCGCTGATTGTTATATATGTTTAAATTTAATTTGCCTCATACTCACATATATATGGATTTATGGGGTCTTTTATGGATTGAAAAACACAATTCGTGTCATTAATTATTAAATCATAATGTCCAAATTGCCCCACATTGGGTTCAAATTTACATAACAGATCTCTGAAAAAATATCGGTTAATATTTTTGAAATTTGAACTGCATAATACAAATGAAAGGCGTCGGTAATAATTGTTGACCACCTGAATTTTAATTCGAAATATTCTTTTGAGAAAAAAAGTCTCGCACCTTGAAATTGCTGCTGATTCAAACTCCTCAGATCCATTATTTTTTAAAATTCTCCATTTATAGCGTTCAGCTGTATTTATTTTAATGCTAGAGTTCGAATTCGCTGAAATTCTTTTCAAACGTGTATATGGACACTGAAATAAAACACAAAAATTAATTACAATAAAAAGTCCTTAAATATTCCAAGTGTTTTTAAAAACGCTGATATAACGAATTTAATATCGGGTTTTGAAAATTCAAAATGGCGGATCCAATATGGAGGACGAATTTTTTGAAAATTCGTAGGATTTACATAAAACTTGTTACTCGAAGGTTTTTTGGATCGCTGATTTCAAGTTTATATTTGTTTTTCAAAATTCAAAATGGCAGAAGAATTTTTAAAAGTTTATCGGATTGGCTAGAAATTCATAACTCGGAGGTTTTTGGGGTCGCAGATTACGAATCTAATTATGTTATTTTTTTTAAAAATTCAATATGGTGTATATTCATTATGGCTGATTAATTTTAAAAAATTATGTCAATATTGCCATTGGCAATTAAACCATTCTAATAACACATGTAATGTGGTTAGAAAAACTCAACTTAAAAAATTTATCTTAAATAAATTTTTTAAAATATTTTTTTCTAAAATACTTTTTCATTATTAAAATATTTTCCATGACATCTGCATTGATAAACATAAAACATTCGTAAACAAAACTGTCAATTGAATATTAGAAAGGTAGCATCACAAATAATGAGATCCATTATATAATGTATATTTTTAAATAGAAACACCGAATTGAATTTATACACTACTGTAATTTATTTTTCATTTATATTAATTAATAATTAATAATTAATAATTAATAATTAATAATTAATAATTAATTTTATATTTTCTTTCCTCCGTCGCAAAGTTATAGTTAAAATTAGAATGTAATAGGAAAAATTTACTCTTACAATATAGTTAAAATAAGTAATTTTAAATTAATTTTCGTATAAAGATATAAATAGAGTAAAATATGTTTATTATATAAATTTTTTAAATTCTTACCTCATTGCAATCGTATGATAAGGAATATAGCCATGTGTCAAATTTTAATAAACTTTTTAATGTTATACAAGCTTGATCAAAAAATAATTCAGTATTATCACAAGAATCCATCCTTATTCATTTACAATCAAATACGTACTTTATATGAAATACTTTTTCTTTGACACACTTGTCTCTCGCTATAACCTACTCAGTAGCGGGGGACCGGTTTTATAAATTTCCAATCGCCATAATTTTCACCAATTTATTGAGTGAACGCGTCAAAAGATTGTTAATTAATTGAAATGACAATTATAAATGTAGATGGTTTGTTTTATTAACACTTTTCTATTTCTATATTTGCATTCACATTTTTTGCAAAACATATGATATTTAATTTTACAAACTAATCTTTTATGGATAAAAAAAATGTCATTCTGAGGGTTATACATTTTTTTCAGTAGAAATTTTGTTATATTTTTTCAAATTTAGTTCAATTTTTAGTATTTGTCTTAAAAATTATCTCAACTAGGTATTTTTGTAGCTTTTTTTTCATACAAAAATAATTTTAAAATCTTAAATCTATAACTATTTGGGGTTTTTGCAATAATTTGAAAATAATTATAAATCTAAAATCAATTTTTACAAATTTAAAATGGCTGCTCCAATATGGCGTATAAATTTCTTATTTTTTTTAAAACTAATCGTTCCGAAAATTGTTTTTAAATCAATAAAATAAATAGGTAGGCGGTATCGTTATCTAAAAGTTAAAATTACATATTAATTTAAAATACTGACAAAAATATACAAATTTTTTAATGTGAATAAAATACTAAAAAAAAATACAAATTCGATTAAAAATACGCTTAAATGCTAGTACAAACGCACTAACAATAAACATATCACTTTGATAATCGAAGTATGTGAAATCAATTTTCCTAAGGTCTTTTATTTGATAATTTTTATTGTTCCCTATAAAAAAAATAAATAAAAACACTTTATCAAACAACGGTTTGAGAAAAAAAATAAATTACCCAACACTCACTAATACTTATTTTGAATCTAGAATTTATATCTATCTGACCTTATTTTAATTGTTTGAAAAAAGATTGCAGGAAAATGATAATAAGTGATTTTTTAATAATTGAGATATATCAATTGTTTATCTAAATAGTCACTGATAGAGGGTTAGCTTCAAATGGAACGCTTTTGCAGGTGTTGTTTTCCTTATTGTCAGTTATAGAAAATAGATATTTAAAAAATATGTTCAGTTCAAAATTATTATTATTTAAATTATCATTAGTGTTTTCAGTGTTTCAATTAGCAACAAGTTTTTCAATTGGTGGATCTTTAAGAAATTCGAATTTATTTGAACTTTCTGTAATACATTTCAATGATTTTCATGCCAGGTATTTATGAAATTTACTTTTTTGTTCCCCCAGGAATTATATTATAGTTTTTTGTCCTAGGCGATTTTTTTTCATGATTAAAGAATGTCGACAACAAACATTGATTTTTTATTAAATTAACTGAAATAAACACAAAACCTTTCAATTTTTTTTAAGAGCCCTGTAATAGTCTTTTTCACCAGCCAAATGACACAATTTCAGCAATATTTCGTTTGAAGATAAATTTGAACTTTTACACTGGGGCGTGAAAATATTAGACTGTCGCGTAGAGAACCACTTGTTAAAGATGAAAATTTTAGACTGACTTGTACTAAGTCATGCATTTTCGAAAATCCATTATTATTTGTTACAATTTGTTATTACATAATTACTAATTTTTTTTGAGTAAGGTTTCTTCAAACTGGACCCGCGTCCGATATCTGTAATGAAGAAATGCACGAGAGTACATGTATCGGAGGAGTTGCACGAGTCTACACGGCAAGTAAAAAGCTGCTAAATGAGAGACCAAATGGAATATTTTTAAACGCCGGTGACATGTATCAGGGTACCATTTGGTATAATCTCTTCAAATGGAACGTCACAGTTGAATTCATGAATATGCTTCCTCACGATGCTATGGTAACTAATTAATTATACTAACTATTAACATATTATAAATTTCCCAAAAAAAAATTATTTTCAGACAATTGGAAATCATGATTTTGATAACGGAATAGCTGGACTTGTGCCATTCCTAAAACATATAAACTCCCCTGTAGTGGTGGCGAATTTAGATATAACTGAGGAACCAACATTAAAAGTATGAACTGTCTAATGTCGTCTAATTTCCAAGAAAATTAATCTGTAGAATACTAATTCTTTTGTTCTAGGGTCTTTTTACCAATAGTACTATAATAGAAAAAAGTGGAAGAAAAATTGGAGTGATAGGTGCTCTACTATCAACTAGCTATGTTAGTAAAATATTTGATATAGTTCGAAATCTCTTATGCACTCTAGATCTAGTTAGGACCTAGTAATCTAATTCTATTAATCTAATTTTCTTACCAATATAATTTTGCAAATTCCAAGATGATTAGTAGGACAGAAAATGTAATATTTATCGATGAAGTGCTAGCAATAAATGCGGAGGCTAAAAATCTAAAAGCAAAAGGAGTAGAAATTATAATTGTTCTCAGCCATTGTGGTTTGGATATTGATCGAATAATTGCTGCCAATTGCTCTGATATTGATATTATTGTTGGAGGACATTCTCATACATTTTTATATACTGGTGAGTTAATGTTATATTAATTAATAAACTTTGACCAAATAACTTTAGGAAGAATTTACATGATCATCGTATTAACGAAACAGGAATTTAACAGAACCAAAGTAATTTCTTAATGTTTGGAAATCTTCTAGGTCCTGAACCTTATCTCGATATTCCAGAAGATGAATATCCAGTTCATGTGAAGCAAGAAGAAAGTGGGAGATCAGTATTAATCGTTCAAGCTTCAGCTTTTACAAGGTTGGATTGTGATATAATATTTCTAATTTCTACAATCTTTTCCAGAAGATACTCGAAATATATTTTTTGTTTCTTCCCTAGGTATATAGGTAACCTGACAGTGTGGTTTGACTCACGTGATGAGGTTGTAAATTGGGAAGGGAATCCAATTCTCTTAGATCATTCTATTCCCGAGGGTAATATTAAAATTGGATTTCTATTTGTTTGAAAAGAGTATTATATTCTTTTCTTTTTTTATTATTTAATTTTTGTTACCTGTATCATATAGATCCAGAAGTACTAAAAGCTTTAAAACCCTGGAAGAAGTTAGCGGATATCAAAGGAAAGCAAATTGTGGGTTCGACAAAGGTTTATTTGGATGGAAAGTATGTATGCCGTAGAGGAGAGTGCAATATGGGTAATTTGATTACTGACTCCATGGTAGATTACGTAAGTCCAACATTCAAGTATCATATCATAAATTACTATTTAGCTTTAATTGTAACAACCACTGTTTCTCCATTTTATCGGGAACTAGTCTTCTTGCATTCCGAACGTAGTCTATCTCGCATAAGGAATTGAGCTAATAGTTAATTTTCCCCGACGTCCCACCTCACAATATGAAGATATTTATGTTTTTAGAATATCGGAAAAGATGACAATAAATATTTCTGGACTCGTGCAGCAATTGGTGTAATTAACGTCGGAGGTATTCGAAGTAGTATCAGCAATGATCCCGAAACAATTAGATTTGAAGATATTGTTGGAGTTCAACCATTCGAAAATACGCTGGACACAGCCGAATTTTTAGGAAGAAGTATCCTGAAGGTTAAAAATCTAGTAAAGAATTTACAAGCTAGATAGCGTAGATACAAAAAATTGTGATACTTGTTTATTGAACTAAAATTATTGTATCTACATGTCTTGAATCTTCTAGAATTTTGAATTCTAGTAAAAAAAATGTATTTTAGTTTTTAGAAAAAGCCGTCCTTGCAAGTCGTTCTAAAAATGAATTTGTAGGCAAATTATTTTATCAGTGGTCTGGAATTCAAGTCACCTATAATTTATCAAGTGTACCATACCATAGAGTTGTAGACGTAAAAGTAAGGTAATGTGTAATTTTCTAAACTGCGGTTAATTTATAAAAGTAAAGTTCCTGACCCTGTATTGTATATATATTTCTGATATAGATGTCAAGCCTGCAAAATTCCAATCTACGAAAAACTGAATCTTGACAAATGGTATAGACTTACGACTTTAAATTTTTTACTCGATGAAAGTAAGTACGCACCACCGTATTTAAACGGATATCGGAATCGCATCAGAGGACCTCAATTTATTGACGTCTTGGCAGATTTTATTAGAAAGAAGAGTCCTATAACCTACGGGACTGAAGGAAGAATAACACTACTTGGAACTTGGAATGGAAAGTAAGATAAGATTAACGATCAAAGTAGAAAAAATGTATATAAATGTATTGTATTATAAACTTCAATTACTGATTAGAATTTAAACTGTATAAAGTCTTTGAAAAGGTCAAATAAAATATACCTAGAAATTATAGTGCCTATAAAATTGTGTCCATTTATTTAAATGTTCAGACAATTATATTCCGAATCATCCATTACAATGTCAGTGCCCTTCTTCGTGTCAGTCCAGCAATCGCCATCAAGTTAACTAGTTGTGTGCTGTCATCAAGTTTCTTCTTCGACTCCAGTCCAGAAAATCTCTTCAAGTACCAAGTGCCTTCTTCGAGTCTCGTCCTGGTAAAATTCATTCAAGGAGATGATACTGCGAGGCTTTCTATTTTTCTAAGGACTGCATTAACTTGACATCAACGTCAAATCAATAATTCGGTGTTTTATCTAATTTACATCGACATCTGGACTCCAGACCTTTCACTTAGGCTAATCCGAAAATAATTTGAGGAAAATCTACTGCATTCTCTGTTTTCGCTAGACAACGTCATTTCTTCGACCTCACACTGAAGGAGGTATTGCTTGTTGGGTCTAAGACTCTAAGAAGAATTTTAAATGATAAAATTTTAAAACAAGTTAATCCCCAGAGGTTTTTTAATACTTTTTATTTGAAAATTTCTATAAACAAAAATGACTTAACAATAAATGATGATGAGAATAATTAAATATATCGATACCGCATGTTCATTGTTTACCTTATTCGAAATCAATTTAGTTTACGATTGATTGCAAACAAGGAAACTAAGAAAGATTATTATTGTAATATGATTTCTATCTAGAGATTATTTAACAAAATCAATCACATTATCTCTTTTTTTTAAAAAGATAAGAAGAAATATAAGATAATGTAAAGATTATATTGAGAGCATTAAATCGATATAATGGCACGCGTAGATGAAGATTTTGCAAAAAAAAATAAAAAAAATTGTACCATTTTGATTGTAACAAAACTACATTCATTGAATGACGTCTTTTTGTCCATTTGATCTTCAATGTAATAAATATTGTCCATAACTATAGAAAGTATTTCTCGAGTAATAACTTTTTAAAATTTATTTTATAAAATACAAGTCTAATTAGTTTTCGTATCTTCACAGAGCAGATCAAACATTGTAATTAGCTCATTAGTAGAATTTCTCTATTCGATCAATCATTGATATAGAAGATAAGTATTTTTCTATTTAAATTATATAAATTCAAACGAAAATTGTACGCATTTAACAGTAATTAAAATGTTGTTGCAGATTATTATTACTCTTCTAGTTATTGAATCATACGGTAAAAGATTGATTTCAATTTTGCTTACAATTTAAATTTAAAAAAAATGTCAAATGTTTTTCAAAGAGGGTAAATTTTATTCTTAATGTACACTATATAATTATTTTATTTCAGGAAATGCGTATAGGATTCAACCGTTGTTTCCCGATCATCGAATTGTAGGTGGGCAAAGGGTTGATATTCACTCACATCCTCATCAATTGTCTTTGCAAACATTACGTCACATCTGCGGTGCTTCTATTATAAGTGAAAATTGGGCCATAACGGCAGGACATTGTGTTGGGTATGATTTGTTTACTTAAATAAATAACTAAGAGGCAGATGGACAGTTTTATAGTTTATATTGCCACGAAATCTAAAATTTTTAATTGTTAGAAATATTCTCGAACATTTAGATGCATCCCTAGTGGGTAAAACATTATTCGCGTCCGAGGAACGTTCCTAAAACTTTTCATGTTCAAAACTGAGAATAAATATATTTACCTTTTAAAATCTTTTATCAAATAAGGTCTGATTTGATTAAATTTATTAATTTTGTTTACAGCGGCAGTCCACTTCTCTATAAATTACGAGCTGGTAATAGTAACAATCGCAATGGAATTATTTACAACGTGTCAAACATCATTCGACATCCACTTTTCAATAGATTTCAAATTGATTACGACGTTGCTGTTATAGAGGTAAACATTTTTACAAATTAATCTTAAAATTTAAAGCAAAGCTTTAAAACCTCATTTTAAATCATTCTAGTTATTGACTAGAATTAGACAATTAATTTCTACTCTAAAAAATAATAATACCACCCTAACGACAAATTCTTCAGCTTGCAGGAAACTTTGAATTTGGCCCCACCGTGCAACCTATCAAACTAGCAGACAAACAACTTTTATCTGGACAAATTGTAAACATAACCGGTTGGGGAAATACCGTAAGTACCTTCCCATTTTAGCCAAAAATACTTTAGTCAAAATAAATACAAAACTATAGTCAATATAATAAACCTTATGTTTGCTTCTACTTCAGGAAATTGGACCTAACGACGGATATCTTCGCCAAGTTTCAGTGCCAATAGTAGAACACAAATTATGCGAAAAAGCATATAAAGATATTAATCCAATAACACCAAGAATGATTTGTGCTGGTTTATTAGCAGAGGGAGGAAAAGATTCATGTCAGGGTGATTCTGGTGGTCCACTTACAGCTGACGGATCTCTTTATGGACTCGTATCGTGGGGTCTAGGTTGTGCCCAACCACGATTTCCAGGTGTCTATACAAATGTTGCTGAACTACGTTCTTGGATTAAGAATATTACTGGAATTTAAGTACTCAAATGAATTTATTTTATAATAAAAAAAGAAATAAATATGTACAGACAAAGGGTTATTTATTGTATCCTATTTATAATGTGCGTCGTAAAAAAGTAATTATCAAACACTGGGGATTTACTTTTTATTAGGAAAATATTTACATTAGAAAAATAAAATTTTCCTTAATAGATTAAGTGGTGACTATAGGAAAAACATTGTTATCGATATAACTAAATGATTTTAATTATAGTTGACTATAGCTTTTCCTTTATCTACACATTAAAAAAAATATTTATATTATTTGTTGTTAATGAGGTAAAAAAAGAAATAAATACGAGGAGCTAATTGTTTTAACAGCTTTGTTTTCAACCATACAGGTGTTGAGTCAGAAAAAAGAAACTTGATAATATTTAAAAAGTAAGTAAAGGAATACGTCCTTTCTCTTTTAGTAAAGAGACGTGTACATATTGAATTAAATATTAATTAATATCATAATTTGTTTAAAAATACACTAGGAAAACAAATCGTTATGAAAAAACTTACAATGATTCCGGTTGTTATTTCAATGTTCATTTTCGTGTTAAATGCAGAATCTATAATAGAAATTTCTCAAGGGAAATTGGTAGGTACTACCATGTTATCTAGAAATGGAAGGATATTTTCAGCTTATCTTGGACTACCGTATGCGCAAACTCCAGTGGGAAATTTAAGGTAATTTTTCTTTAAGTCTAAACTTTTTGGCCATTCTTTTAGTACAATATACAATATTCTAATTTAGATATTGTAATTTTAATTCAAACTTTGCATTTCTGGTATATCGAATGATTACTTTGTTCACGATGATTTTACGACACAACACGGGACGCATGATTATTCCCCAAATGTCATTTTTCCGAAATGTCATTTTACCGAACTGCACTTTTGCGAATAGTCATTTTTGCGAAATCCATTTTTGCGAAAAACCATTTTTACGAATGGTAATTTTTGCGAAAAGTCATTTTTACGAATTTTCATTTTTGCGAATTGTCATTTTTGCGAATCGAAATTTTTACGAATTGTCCTTTTTGCGAATCGACATTTTTACGAATCGCCATTTTTACGAATCGTTATTTTTACGAATTGTCACTTTTGCGAATCGACATTTTTACGAATTGTCATTTTTGCGAAAAGTCATTTTTACGAATTGTCATTTTTGCGAATCGAAATTTTTACGAATTGTCTTTTTTGCGAATCGACATTTTTACGAATTGTCACTTTTGCGAATCGTTATTTTTACGAATTGTCACTTTTGCGAATCGACATTTTTACGAATTGTCATTTTTGCGAAAAGTCATTTTTACGAATTGTCGTTTTTGCGAAAAGCTATTTTTGCGAATTGTCAGTTTTGCGAATTGTCACTTTTGCGAATCGCCATTTTTATGAATTGTCACTTTTCCGAAAAGTCATTTTTGCGAATTGTCATTTTTGCGAAATAAATACAATAGTAAACTTGTAGGTATATATAGATTTACATTGTATTTTTCGCAAAAAATGACAATTCGCAAAAATGACTTTTCGGAAAAGTGACAATTCGTAAAAATGGCGATTCGCAAAAGTGACAATTCGCATAAATGACATTTCTCAAAAATTAAATTTCGCAAAAATGACAATTCGCAAAAACGACAATTCGTAAAAATTACTTTTTCGCAAAAATGGCTATTCGCAAAAATGACATTTCGTAAAAATGTCGATTCGCAAAAGTGACAATTCGTAAAAATGGCGATTCGTAAAAATGTCGAGTCGCAAAAGTGATAATTCGCAAAAATGACAATTCGCAAAAATGAAAATTCGTAAAAATGACTTTTCGCAAAAATGACATTTCACAAAAATGTCTTTGCATAAAAATGACAATTCGCAAAAATGACAAATCGTAAAAATGTCGATTCGCAAAAATGACTTTTCGGAAAATTGACAATTCGTAAAAATGTCCATTCGCAAAAATGAAAATTCGTAAAAATGACTTTTCGCAAAAATGACTATTCGTAAAAGTGCAGTTCGGTAAAATGACATTTCGGAAAAATGACATTTGGGGAATAATCATGCGTCCCACACAACACAGTAATAAATAGCTTGAAATTCAATTATTAAACAATTATTGCACATTGGTTCGTTCTGCAGCATGATCAGAGGTCCAACGTATATGCCAGATGATTGTCTCCGAATGACAATTGTGATGCTAATCTCTTACCAAGTAATATCAATTGTTAAACATTTTCGGTTGGCTGATAATTAAGTACCATTAATTAAATAAATTTTCGATTTACATATTGTGAATTACTATTACCCAAGACTTGTGACCTGCAGAGTTAGAAAGAATTAGAAAATTCCTCCCCTACATCAAGGGACCACTTGAAGTTTCAAAAAGTCTCCTTTTCAAAATCAGGAGATGAGTCGTGATAAGAAGTGTTTCATATTTTTAAAATACTATTTTCAATAGAATACTTGTATATATACTCTAACAATAATCACAAAGTTAAAAAAAATAATAAGCTTTTAATTCTTTCAGATTCAAAAGACCTTTACCAGCTGCTAACTGGCAAGGTGTTAAAAAAGCAACAACCCATCAAAACTTCTGTCCTCAGCTATTCCTAAATATAATCATAGGCAGTGAAGACTGTTTATATTTAAACGTTTATAGTCCATTGAGAACAAAAAATAATACACTACTACCAGTGATGGTTTGGATTCACGGTGGAGGTTTTTTTAGCGGAACTGGAAGCCTATTTGGTGCAAATAACTTCTTGGACAAGGACATAATTTTAGTAACATTCAATTATAGATTAGGAATTTTGGGTTTTTTTACGACAGGCGATTTGTCAGCACCAGGTAACTTTGGTCTAAAAGATCAAGTTCTAGCATTAAAATGGGTTAAAAGGAACATCAAAGCTTTCGGTGGAGATCCAAATAGAGTAACAATATTTGGAGAAAGTGCAGGTGGCGCAAGTGTCAGTCTTCATGCTCTCTCAGAAGCAAGCAATGGTAATTCTCACAAAATTATTTCTTTCTATCTATTTCGTGTCAACACTCAAATTAACATTTCCATGGATTTTATTTATCTTCAGGACTTTTCCAACAATACATTATTCAAAGTGGCAGCTCTCTAAGTCCTTGGTGCCTTCAAAGTAGTAGTAAATTTAGAGAACCTGTTATGAAAATTGCAAAAATGGTCCAATGTTCTTTCAATAATTCAAAAACATTCGTTAATTGCTTAAGAAGTAAAAGTGTGGAAACTTTATTACATACAAATGGGGCATTTGATTCAAAACTAGATTTTCATCCTGTAAAATGGTTACCAGTCGAAGAGCCTAAAAATAAAGACGCCTTTTTAATAGATTCTCCAAAAAACTTAATAGCTAACAATAAAATGAAAGATCTTCCATTCATTAGTGGTATAGTTGCTGATGAAGGATTATTATTTACTGATGGTAAAAATTAAATTACTCTTGTTTATTATTTTCCAATAGTGAAAGTATTTAATAACAAGGGTCAAAATTGAAATTTTCAGCTTCATATAAAGATGAGAATGTATATAATTTTGTTAAAGCAGACATAAGGAATATTCTCTCATACACTGCTGATCATTTTCTCGATTTAAAAAACACCAATAAATTCGTGGACGATGTGAAGAAATTTTATTTTAATAATTCTTTTACAATACCAGAAAAGTCAGAGGTATTTTAAATTAAACAGATACATTATCAGATTTATAACAGATACATACATCAAATACATTTAAATCCTTTATATTATTTTTAACTCAACTTTTCTAAAAATTCTTCTAGTTTCTAAAAAGTCTCACCGACACTTTTAGTGACGCTGCATTTCTATATCCAGAATTAAGATTGGTGCAAAAAACAACACCCAGAATGCGAAATTCTAATTATTTGTATTCCTTTGGTTTAGCAAATTCTTCACCAAATACTGGAGTTGGTCATGGTGGAGAATTACCATTTTTATTTCCATTATTAGTCAATGTTAATTTAAATGTAAGTCAAATTTTGGTGGATTTGTGGACTTCATTTGCTATTAATGGGTAAAATTTAATTTCATATTTTTAATAATTTTCAATAATTCATATATTTAATAATTATTGGGGAAAATTTTAGAAAGCCAACATCTTCTAAGTTAACTCCACCTGATCTGTGGAAACCATATGACGTACAGAAGAATACTCATCTTCAAATTGGAAATATTGATAACAACACAGATCCGAAAATTACACTTTCGAATTCATTCTATACAAAGAGGATGAATTTCTGGAAAACTATGTATCCTATTTGATATTTTTATTCTTTCTAAATAAGATAAGAATTTATTTATTTAATTGAATCTCCACAGACATTTAGGTAATAAATAATAGTTTCAAAAAAAAATTTCATTAATTTCTGTCGTCAAATCGCAATTTACCTTCTTTACTGTTTTGATTTCTCGTTTGAAGTAAGATTTCCTAAGAAGAATACGAAACTGATTCTAGATTTTAAAAATACAAAATGGCGGATCCAATATGGCGGACTTTTATTCAAAAAGGGTACCTAAGTGCTCTGTACATTTGTCTACTTGAATTACCTGAATGTTTACCAAAAAGTGAACCATTTAAGAAAATACATTGTTTATTACACGTCATATTTTTGGAGATAATCCCTTAACCCCTTGGCTGTCAACGAGATTTCCACTGTTTGGGCCAAAAGTGTGTTGAAAAAATTGTTAATTGATTTTTATGAAACTTGGTACCTTAAGGTTTCTGGGGTCGCTGATTACGAATCTGAGATCAGTTTTTCGAAATTCAAAATGGCGGATCCAAGATGGCGGAAAATTCTTTTAAATTCATCGAATTTGCTTGAAACTGGTTACTCGGGGGTTTTAAGGGTCGCTGATTACAAATTTAACATTAGTTTTCCAAAATTCAAAATGGCGGACGACAAAATAAAAAATTAATTATAATGGCTTGAAACTGAATACTCGGGGGTTTTTAGGGTCGCTGATTACAAATCTGACATTAGTTTTTCAAAATTCAAAATGGCGGATCCAATATGTCGGAAATTTTTTTTAATTGGTCAAATTCGATTGAAAATGGTTACTTGGGGTTTTCAGGATCGCTAATACCGAATCTGATATTAGTTTTCCAAAATTCAAAATGGCGGACAAGGAAATAAAAAATTGATCAGATTGACTTGAAACTGAATACTTGGGGATTTTCAGGGTCGCTGATTACGAATCTGAAATTAGTTTTTCAAAAAATTTTTTTTTGTTTCAAAAAATCTAAACTTGAAGTCAGCCTCCGTGAATTAGAATAATTGGAGAACCGTGACACCTTTTAAGCTGTGAATGACCGGCACAGTTCTCACTTAAACGGATGTTACTTTAATAAACTGGGTGATATACGACGATTTCAGTACTATAGTCTAGAGCCTACGAATTTTATCGAATTTTAATTTTCTTGGTGAAAACATCAAAAATAAAAAAAAGGTAAAAATTCAAAAAATCAGGGATCTCTCAATTTGTTAACTTTTCGTAAGAGAAAAATATAAAGAATTAAAATTCTAAAATCGGCCCCGAGGGATTCATGGCTTTATGGCAGAAATTAACATCCAGACTTTCACATTACTTGGACAAGAGTGTTGAAACAATTATTTATTCGCAGCTTAGCAATTCATCTCCTGTTTAACGATCGGAAGTTATGGAATTTTATGATAAGCAATAAAAAGAGCTCTGTAAAACTAAATATTTTATAGAGGGCAACCTTTATTTATGAATCGACAGTTGTTCAGACAATTTCGTTATGTACTTTCATTCTCTTTTAACAATAGTTCTACTAAAATGCACTTTTGCACAAAGTCCCTTATTTTTTGGTTAGTATTTTTTTTAAAATGAAAAATAATTAAATAAACTATAGTTTATAAAAGTTTTTAGTTTTTCCAAATAATAATTTTTCATAAACCTGTCTGTATATAAAACAATAAAATTGTTCGTAGAATAAGAAAACATGTCATACTATCATCTACTGTGTTTAAAAATAATTTAATAGTGAACAGTGTTAATAATTAAATAGTGGGTTCTCGATTTTTTTCGAAATTGTGTTTATTTTAATTTTTCGACATAAAAAAAGTAATCTTAAATATTTTTCGTCTAAAGGGGGATTCTACTTTTAAAGGCCCAAAAAAAGCGGTATTTTAATAATTGTCTTGAGAAGGAAAAAAATAACTAATTCGGATGAGTCCTCGCATGAAACGAGTAAATATTGTATAAATATTGAGTGTGTTGAAAACAAATTAGTGAGTGTAAGTTTTAATATTTTAATTAATTTAAATTTGGAACCATAATTTATTGTTCAGAACGATGCCTCAAGGTTCGTTTTCAATGTCGCAATATTCGCCAAAAAAAGTAAAGTAGCATCCCCCAGTTAAGAAATATCTGTAAATTCTTAAAATAATAACGTTAGTAAGAAAATTAATATTTCTGATTATTTCAATAAATAGGCGACGAAGATTTTTTTCTAAATGATGATGATGATGATGTTATTTTAAGTGACGATAGTAGAACAGAGGGTGATGAATATGATTACACGAGGGCAGTGGATGATGATAGAATTGTTGGAGGTCACATTACGTTCATACAAGAGCATCCACATCAAGTAAATTTTTCAATTTCTAATTTTTTAAACATTTACCTTTAACCTTTTTTCATAAAAAAAACTAACATACTTACTAACATACTTCCCCCTTCTGTTAAGGGTTTTTTTGATCTTCGAAAAACAAATATTTTTCAGGTATCTCTGAGATATAAAGGACGACATATATGTGGAGGATCAATAATTAGTGAAGAATGGATAGTAACCGCAGCCCACTGTGTCTCAAGGTATATTACTAAATTATTAAATTAAATACTGAAAAAAATAAAATTGAACTAATTTTTCATTCTAGAGCTTTTGCGGCGGACGTTTCGGTGAAAGTTGGCTCCTCAACAATAAAAGGAATAGGTGATGTCGTACAAGTTAGTGAAATAATTGTTCACGAAAATTATGGGTCAAGTGATTATGATGTTGCTGTAATGAAGGTATGAAAAAATTGCACACTATTACAAAATATAGAAAAAATGTTCATTATTGCTTGAATCGATAAAAATAATTAAAGTTCCTGTTTCGTTGGAATGTTTTCCTTTAAATTTCCTTTCTCATGGAATGTAGACAAAATAATTACGACATATCTGATATACCTTCGAAATCTTAACTTTATAATTTTATCTTATTGTGGTATTTTAATAGTTTTTAAATTTCCGATTTCAGTTGGAAGAACCGCTGCATTTTAGAGAAGGAGTTGGATCTATTGCGTTACCATCGAATTCAGAGAATTATTACAGTGGTACCAAGGCCACGGTTACTGGTTGGGGTACCCTAAGTAGTTCGGGATCCTTAAGTAATCATTTAAGAGAAGTTGTCGTACCTTTAGTGCCGAGTTCAAAATGCGCTCAACTTTACGGTAGAGAAACAATTACACGTCGAATGATATGCGCTGGTTATATTTCCAGTGGGGGGAAAGATGCTTGTCAGGTAATTTCCTCATTTATTTATTTATTTAATTCAAAGCACGTCATATTAAATCGTTCCATTTGGAACAAAATCATTTCTTTGAGTGTACAACAAATGTTATAATTAAATTGAAATTAGTGCATGTGGCTTTTCTTTTTAATTAATTGAATTTGGGAACTATGGTTTATTGTTCAGAACGATGCCGCAAGGTTCGTTTTCCATGTCGCAATATTCGCAATTAAAAATAATCGTATTCAGAGACCCTATCGAAGTAAAAATTTCTAACATATTGGGTGCCCTATGGTGAATATTAAAAATTCAAGGACAAATTCGCACTTATCGATCCTGAAAGTCCCCGAGTGACAAACTTCAACTAAACCCCATGAATGTTAAAAAAAAATGACCGCCATATTGGATCCACCATTTTGAATTCTAAAAAAACGCCACTATAAAATGTAACTGCTTTTAGAAAATTTTAAAGATTATTACAATTTTTTTTATTTAATACAATAAACGGATGATAAAAAAAAATTCACTTACAGGGTGACAGCGGAGGTCCATTGGTACAAGATGAAAAACTTATCGGAATTGTCTCATGGGGTTATGGTTGTGCGAGGCCAAAGTATCCTGGAGTTTACACACGTGTCACTGCCGTTAGATCGTGGATCAGTGATAAGACTGATCTATAATGTTTTTTCTGTTAATTCCTAATAATGTTAACCAAAAAAAAAAAAAAGTTTCAAAAATAAAAAAATACTTTTTGAACAATTTAAAGTTACCTGCTTTTTTGTTCCAATTTTTTTTTCGTCAAAGCCAAAAACGTTAGGGGATGAAAAAAAGCAGAAAACAATTTTTCTCTTTGTTATATTTTCCTAAAGAAATTACATTACAAAATATCTTCATATATTTTTAAAGTTCACAAAAATCACAATTGTAGTTAAGTTTGTCGATCACAACAAATTTTCTTTTTCTAATTACACTGGGATAAATTTTTTAACGTTGATTTTTTGTTTATCCGCACCAATAAGGACGAATTAGAAATTTTATTTTTTTTTTATTACTTAAAAATATTTTTCCAAGAAGAGTCAAATTTATGAAAAAAAAAAATAATTGTCTAAACATTTATTTTGCATACGACAATTTAAAAACAAACATTTACTTACACTGCATGTTTAAAGTAAAAAGTACAAAAATTATCTTCCCAAAAAAACACAACATCAAGTTTTGTAAAAGAATTTTTTAAATTGTTGTACGCCAATAAATGTACTTCAGGAAATATAAATTGACAAATTGAATAAGTAGTGATAATATTGCAAAAAAAAATTCTATTAAGAAGTGTCCACTTTCCAAAACCAGATTTACTTTGAAGAGGTATTTAAAAGTAATCTATTTGAAAATAATTTACGAATGAATAATTAGAATAAGTAATTAAGTAATCAATATATAATTTTTAAATCGACTAATATCAACATAATCGAGAATGGCCACCATAATATAATATTCACTTTCAGAATTATCTGAAGATGAATTTTACAATATTTTTATTAAAAATTTTGTTGTCAATATAATTAAAAGTATATTTGTAGTAACATTTTTTTTTTCAAATATAATTAAAATATATCATTTTAAATGAAATTATAAATAAAAAATAACAAATATGAATGTTTAACAGTATTTTCGATTAAAAAATAAATTATAACACTTTAACGCTGTTCGATTACTGTTTTTTGTGACAGTTTTATATACCATGGCATGTAATCCATAATTATTAAAAGTATTTTTAGTCTCCAAGGTTTCACACACATCTCAATAATTAAATCTAATTATATTATAGATTGTATTGAACCTAAAGATGTTTTTACCTGTCCTACATATCTAATTTGATTGAGTTTAAAAAACTACATTTTATTTTTTCCTCTTTGTCTATATTTTTAAAAAAGAAGTAGAAAAAAATATTTTTCAACATGGAATGCATTTATGCCTTTAAGATATATATAATATACATATATAAATACGATTGTAATATATTTTGTTATATGTTTCAACACATTTTACGATATTCTTATTATCGTATATTAATTAAAACAAAAAAAAAAGTCGTTAATGTTATAAAAAAAAAAAATTAAATTAAATAATTGAGGAGGAAATAAATGCAGAATTTCAAAAGCAAGATATAAACATTGGGAAATATTAAATTAAAATTTAAAAAAAAATGTTTAGAAGACAAAAACTTTTTAGATAGTGTCGCTAAGGATCATCATCGTCGGATGTCATCGTCATCATCAGAAAAAGCATTTAACAATAATGAAATAATTTTTTTTGTTAAAACGAACCAAAATATGAAACATGTCATCCGAAGTGTAAAGTAATTGAAAGAATTGAGTTTTTTTCAAATTGATCCACTACTGTCGCCGGGAAAAACCATCATGTTTTCAGCGCCATAAGATGGAGTTGGTGAACTTCTTGCATCAAGGGAGGCTCTACTTGCTGAACTGAAACTGCTTGAGCTCAGGTCCTCAAAACTAGCGACAGATTGATTTGCACCTGGAAATATTAATTATTCGTGAAGAAATTAATACTTTTTTGATATTTATTTAAAAAAAAAAAAAAAAAAAAAAAAAAAAATTTTAATTAAATTAAATTTTTAAAACTATTTAATCTTTAAAATAAAGTTCGAGTGGTAGTAAAAAAAGTAGTTATCGAAAATTTAAAATTGACAAAAAAAACTCGTTTTAAAAACTTCAAAAAAATCTATTCTATATTTTATTTTTCTGACTTTTTCCTAATTTCCATCAAAAATATTTACTTCTCTCTTATCCTACTGCTAACAAAATTAAATTCCCACAACGAATTTTATTAATCATGAAAGAATTTAAAAATATATTTATAAAAATAATTTAATTCTTGCGTAGAATTTTATTAAAAAAAAAAATTTTTTAATAATTGATTTCTTTCGACTAATTTTATGGAAATTCTAGTTTAAATAATTGAACTCAACGAAAATTTTTATTAATTCATGAAAATAATTTAATTCTTCGAAAGATTTTTAGCAAAACTTTTTTAAATATTTTAATTCTGGTTGAAAATTTTATGAAATTAGTAGATATTGAAAATCATTGAATTGCGAAAAGCTTTTAAAAATAATAAAATTTGACAAAGATTTCTATTAAAATTTTAGAGAAAAATTGAATGTCTATGTGGCATTTTATTAAATTTTTATTTGAAAATAATTGAATTCCAAAAAAGCATTTTATTATTTATGAAAATAATTGAATTCTCACGAACGATTTTATTAGAATATTTTAAAATAATTGAATTTCAAAAAAGAAATTTATTACTTTTAAAAATAATTGAATTCTTGTGATGAATATTGTTATTTATGAAAATAATTAAATTTTATAAAGAATTGTATTGAAATTCCTTAAAATAATTGAATTTTTGAGAATAATTTTGTTACTTATCTCTTTAATAATTATTGAATTATTTAAAAAAAAAATTTCATTAAAATTGTATTTAAAATAATTAATTTCTTTCCATCAATTTTATTAAAACATTTGAAAATAATTGAATTTATGTAAAAAAATTTCTAAATATTTTTGTAAATATAATTGAATTCTTCGCCAGAGAATTTTAAAAAAATATTTTTTTAAATAATTGATTTTTTCGAGAAACTAAAATAAATTTGTTTTTAATAATTACATGTTTTGAGCAATTCCTGAAAAATATGTATTAAAAATAATTGAAATTCTGCGATGAATTTTATTATTTTTGAGAATTGAAAATAATTGAATAGTTGCAAATAATTTTATTAAAATTTTCAAAAATAATTGAATTCATGAGAAGAATTTTATTATTTATGAAAATAATTGAATTATTGCGACCGATTTTATTAGAATTTTTTTAAATAATTGAAAAATTTATCTTAAATAATTGAATTCTTGTGGAAAATTTTTTTTTTGGTGAAAATAATTGAATTTTTTGATTAAAAATGCTTTTCTAAATTAATTGAATACCTGTTGAAATTTTATTATTTATGAAAATAATTGAATTTAGGATGAATTTTATCAATTTTTTTTTTTAAATAATTAAATTATTTTGCGAAATTTTATGAAAATAATTGATGTTAAAAATAATTGAATCCTCTTATAACCCAGCGGTTAAGAAAGTGAATATTATTTACCTAGGGCACTAAAGTGTACTTTATCGACTACTCGCAGGTCAATAAAGTACCCATTATTACCCTAGGGTAATAAAGTGCCCTTTATTGACCTTTCGTAGGTCAACATTTATTTTATCAATTATTAAAGAATTTGTAAAAATGACGAAATTGATGTAAGAGGATAAATGAAGAATGAACCTGAAGAAGAAGGAAAATTTCAGTCTACTAAAAAATATCATCAACATCATGAAACAAATACAAAAAATTAGTTTTTAAAATTTTTATTTCTTTCATATAACTTTTTTTCAAACCTTTTTTTTAAACTTGTGTTCATTTTTTTGTTTTCTCTTCTGAAAATTAATATTGTAATTGAATCAATAAAACATTTTGGAAATACATATTATTTTTGTTTTGTACAATTTTTTTCTTGCCAACACTGTGCATAATATACGATAAGTTTTTTTGTTTTACTCTTAATTCTATAATCTACCAATCATTCCACGTAGTAGATTCTAAAAAATAAAACTAAAAGAGCAATAATTCGCATAAATTTTTTTCTAGATAATTTTTCATATTTTTTAGTTATATATTCAAATATAGACTTGTGCTTAAAGTTTGCAGAAATTACATTTAAATTGTTGAATTAGCTAAAAATATGAGAGCTGAATTCTTTATCATTAGTACAAATCCAATATAGTAGATATCAGCTCTAGACGTTGAATTTCAGTCTTTTTTTTTTTTTTTTTTTTTTTTTTTTTTTTGAATTTCAATTAAACTGAAACTTGAGATCCGTAATTTTGACCAGAATTCAATTTATTAAATGGTAAAGTGCCTTGAGGGCAATAATCGTCTCGATACGATTTATAATTTTTTTCCACACACGTTAATAATAATCTTTAGTTTGCAATTTTACTCAAAATTATTGCAAATACAGAAATTAATATAAAAATTAATTTAACAAATTCAATGATTAAATTAATTAATTTACACGCATTTAAATATTAGATAATGAATATTTTCTCGAAAACAGAAATATAAAAATAGAAGCATTAAACATTTCAACTTGAAATCTTATTTTACGTCTTGATTTAAGAAACAAGAAATTAATCATATTGCATACACCACATTTGATTTAAGCTGCTCTTCAAATTAACTATTTTTTCCATTTATGTCATTTTTTTTATAATTTGCAAATTTCAATGAATTTTTTTTTTTTTTTTTTTTTTTTTTTTTTTTTTATTGTTAGTATTGCAAAACAAATTTCTAATTAACAAAAACGAACTGCAATTTCCGTTCGTTATTTTACGTTAAACATTCATTCAGCACAAAATCTCAATACAATTTAAATGGACCTTCATTGTAAGTAATAATTAAGATTTTTAATAAATAAAAATCGTCGACATTTTTTTTTAAATACTGATCTTACAGTTGCAACAAAAATTTTTTTCTTTTTGAAACTTAATCTTTTAAAAATATTTACCCAGAAGAAAGTTGAAAAAAATTCTTTCTAGAAATTTAAAAACAGCAAAGAAATTTTTTTTTTCCTTCTAACA